GTCGTACGTATTAATATAGTTACGTACGTACTACTATACTATAGGTCGTAGTATATATATATATATATATATATATATATATATATATATATATATATATATATATACTATTTATAGTATATGTATATATATATTATATTATGTATATATATATATATATATATATAGATATATAGATATTGATTTACAGTCGATGTTGATTTACAGAAGACGTTGATTTTTTTGATTTTATTATAAATCTGACGTGCATACCTGTGAATCTGATAACGTTGCAATTCTTACGGACTGACTTGTGTCCCAGGATAGTGTGTGGGTTCAAAATAGTGTCCGTTTGTATATGTACTTCTGTAGTTGTGACTTTATATACATTTTTTTTACATAGCAATAAATACGAATGATACCAATCCATTCATATAGTAATGTAAATTCAAATATGCATGCATACATACAGTAGCACAGATTCCCTGTCCAAATTGTATATCTGATCCGTGTATGTATATGTGCATGTGCATTTGTATGTGTATGAGTATGTGTTTGTATATATATGTGTATGTGCATGTGCATATGCAAGTGTACGTGCATGTGCATGTGTATGTGCATGTGCATGTGTATGAGTATGTCTATATGTATGTGTATGTGTATATGTATGTGCACGCGTATGCGTATGCGTATGTGTATATGTATATGTATATGAATATATATCATCCACAGGCTTCGTTGGCTACCATCAAGGCCCGCACACCTGAAAATCCATGGACTGCTATAGCCCATATGGAATAACACAGGCCAAGTTCCTGCTAACACACTTTGGCGTCTATAACCCTTCAGGTTACCGTGCGTTGTGGAAGGGTGCAGGCGCACGAGTGATGTTGTGGGGCCCTCAGTTCGCCATCTCTCTGTTCACCTATGAGGTATGTCTCCTGTGTGTCCAGACCATGATGGTACAGAGTTGAGCAGGTTTGTGCGTGTGACTAGGGTGGTATAGGGTAGAGTATGTGCATGCGTTATATACACATGGCTGTATAGATTCGGTTGTAGTCGCAGTCAGTTGTCTATCAGTGCTGTTTTGCCCCACATTTTCCTGCTTCGAGTTCATTCTTTGCGTCTTGTATATATATTGTTTTCGGCTGCATGTACTTGTGTGTGTGTCGTGCGCGTTCCTAAGCGTATTACTTTCACTTGTATATACTTGTTCGTGTTCATAATCTTTCAGGGTTTTACGGGTTCAGTCTCTATTCGGGTTGTCTTTCGTCAGCATTACGGTCGTTTGTCTATAAATATTTGTCTGAATTCCACATTGGCAATCTGCTTTGTAAATACCTTCAAAATTATCTGTGATCGCTTATTCAACGAAGTACAACACCAGCTGTTCCCAGGCATACCACCCTCACCCTTTACACATCACACACACGTACCATATTATATAACACAGTGAGACAGTATAGATGGATGCTGATATGATATGTTTTCACACACGTTTACAGGTACCCTCACGCCGGCTGTTCTCAGACATTTCATAGGCACACTCAACACATCACATACACGTATTATATTATAAAACACAGTGAGACAGTATAGGACGTATGCTGATATGATATGTTTTCACACACGTTTACAGGTACTTCAACGCCGGCTGTTCCCAGATATCGTGCCCATACCACTCACACACGTGCCTATCAACAGCCGTGACTTCATGGGAATGCGCACCGAACGCCTGCAGAACCGCTTCAGTCGTGTGGAGGGCGAGCTACGGTCCTTGCAGATCGAAAAGTAAACCAGGTTTATAGCCGATTTGGAATCAGGGGGTTTTACTTAGTAACCCGCTGACCAGGTTGGCCATAGCGCGAATAGACTGCTCATCGATAGGCTACAGGCACCATGGGGATGCGAGTATGGGCTGCGCAAGGTGCATGATCACAGTTGAGTAGGTATGATCTGATGGTTTGTTTTCCACACACTTGGTTTTTGTTGCTAAACCAGGTTGAAAAAGAAGAATCCAGTGAAAGTAAACCTAATATAGGTATTGATACGAGATTAGTGTCACTCGCCACGTGTGTGATGACCACGCACGTCTCATTCTGCCTGGGCACAACTACAACAGCCAGACATACTTCCTCGTACTCGTAGCACTTCTGTTACACCCTGACAATATGTGGATACACCCACAACACACACGCATGTGAGTTGATGGGGTTGTTAGTGGTCAGCTGTATGCATCTATAAATAGAACTTTGGTGTATGCATCTATAAATAGAATGCTGGGACGGGCACAGAACGTCTCTGTCCTGATCTGGATGCCTATTGCCCTCGAATGTCCAAGCCGAGCGCACGGGAAGATCCATCCAATCCCTTCACGTCCAAGAATGTAACCAGACACATTCAATGGCATGTGAAATACACATACTTACTGTATGTTCACGTGTGTGCCTTATATACCGGACAACTTAGTCACACGCGGAGCCTGTGCGTTAATCACATACCATGCAAATCCAAGCGTTCCTTCAGAGAGTATGGAGAAGGTTTGGACTGCCGCCATAAGGCAAGGTGTGAAGACCCCTATTCGATCTGCAGTAGCACCTGCAGCGTAACTAGATTTAGCTCAAGTGGAGACTGGAGACTATGAAACACTCATCAGATCAGAAAGGTGGGGTGTTGTGTTTCATCGGGGGACTGCACCTGAATAAATACACCTCACAGGACACACATATTGGGTTGGGAACTGAATTAAATCGGGATGTGGACTGAAATAAATTGGTTTGTGGGCTGAAATAGATTAGTTTGCGGACTAAAATTGAATGTGTATATAGACTGACATTGTTTGAGTTATCGTGTACATGGGAGTGATTAAGTATGTTCTGACTTTAATGAGTTATCGTGTACAAGAGAGGGACTAAGTATGTTCTGACTGTAATGGGCTATCGTGTACAAGAGTGGGATTAAGTATGTTGATTAAGTATGTTCTGAGTGAAATGAGCTATCGTGTACAAGAGAGGGATTGAGTATGTTCTGAGTGCAATGAGCTATCGTGTACAAGATAGGGATTAGGTATGTTCTGACTGTATTGAGCTATCGTGTACAAGAGAGGGATTAAGTATGGTCTGACTGTAATGAGCTATCGTGTACAAGAGAAGGTTTAAGTATGTTCTGGCTGTAATGGGCTATCGTGTACAAGAGAGGCATTAAGTATGTTCTGACTGTAATGGGATATCGTGTACAAGAGAGAGATCAAGTATGGTTTGACTGTAATGAGCTATCGTGTACAAGAGAGGGATTAAGTATGTTCTGACTGAAGCACATATGCGTGTTTGTGTTCTAGGCCGACAGATGCATATTTATCGAATAGCCAATGATATATACTCTACTTGATCCCCATGTCTAACTATGAATTGTTAACAGCAAACCTAAACCTCACAAGGAAACCGCTGCTGGTCCAGCGTAAAATACAACCCCCCCACTCTCTCTCACCGCGCGCGTTGGCATGATTCGTTCCCTAGCTTGGCAATGAATACCTGATCCCATGCAATATGTGCGCCGCAAAATGTTGTCACATAGAAGCTCTCACGCGTATGTTATAATAACTCAGAATTGCACTACCTAGCCAGCACCACCTTACAAGCGACCCCGAAATACTCGCTGAGATTTGTCTTTGTATATTGATACTGGCGGGGCATTACAAGCAATGTGTCTTTACAGAATACCGTAGAGATGAGTGGTCAATAGCCAGCGATAATCTAACAATGACAGCAACATCAAGTACACACACGATGCCATAAATACTTTCGAGAAAGCCGTATACAGGCACCCACTCTGTTCTCTGAAACAAAGTGTACTTTCGAGAAATAAACTATAGCTATTCCACTCACCACAACAAATCAAATATTCGTGGTATTTAGTTAAATATCGATACAGTGTTCGCCACAATTATATATCTGCTCGTATAAGAAGCATAGAGCCAAACCATCCACCATTACAATATTCTTACCTGTAATAAGCATACCAAAACAAGGTTTATAACTTCGTGTAATGGCCACCCGAATCCTCTTACTCGCATATAAGCAATACAGATTCAACCACATACATCGGACGATGAATGCTTTGTATATGTAGACGTTTTTGCGGTTGGGAGTGTTTTTGTGTTACTAAGATGTGTGCTGTGTGTATGTGAGAGATAAATGTGTGTGTATGGCGATTATGTAATTGATCCACATGTTTCGTTGACTACGTATATTCGATGAAAAAGGCTGACTAAGATATAATGATTTTCCAACAAAACAATAATAAGGTACGAATGCTAAGTGATATGTGATCAAGTTCTATGGTTTATCTGTGCTGAAGCGAGTATCATAACATAATATATGAAAGTATGAAGATATCAAATCGAGCATAAGTAGTAACTTTTAGTTGCACATGTGGCAAGTACGCCAAGTAGAGTATCGTACAAATTGTTACCTATAGACTAATATTGTTAAATATCATATTCGATTTCAAGATCGCACAGTAACACGTAAGCATTTGTACTTTGATCCTATCTGCTCCATTGACTGCATCCCATAAATCGACATCGAACCATATGTTCGCGGACTTCGCTACATTGCCAAAGACTTCCACCGGCTTTATTCATGTACATATCTGGAGACTGGGTGACTTGAAAGAGCGTTGAGTTGATTTAAAAAAATATTAGTTGTCTCTTTATTTAGTCTTTGGAATCTGACTGGACTCCTGGAGAGAGTTTTGCATGACGCTTTAGCAGTGTCATCAATTATATTTGTAAACTAATTTCAATACATAAATATTAATGTGTAGTGCGAACCTACTTTATTTTGGAAAAACCTAGTTTACGCCAGTATCCATTATAATTCCACAAACCTATTCTGCTGAGCAAATAAGTACAAAATAGTAGTGGTCAAATGGGGTCCATCTGGTATTATCCAATAACGCCCAGAATACTATGCCTCGAAATCAGTCTCGAACACTTGAGTTACAACACAATGGTATGTGGCTCTGATGCAGCTCAATATGTATCACATCAGCGAGGCACGACTAATAATTATTCATAGCTACAGTCACAGTAGTTTTGTTTTCTGATTACAATCTCTGTAGAAATACTCTCGCTACCTTGGTCCTGTGTTCGATCAAACCTATAGTTGCAAGGTTAATTCTGCATATACCAGTATCAGTATATGAGTAAGGGAACAAGGGTACATCAATTCAATTTCAACACTTTTTTCTTCTGTGCAATATAGCGAGTCGTATTTATACAGCTGTTATTTAGATATCTTATACAGTATCACTATATAAATATATATATATATATATATATATATATATATATATATATATATATATATATATA